TATCTGGTCTCCGATCCGGACCTGCCTTTAACTCAAGTTGTTCGATCTGGACTTGCCTTCAACTCGAGTTGTTTGATCTGGACCTACCTTCAACTCAGGTTACGTTGTTCGATCTGGTTGTCTGTTTCCGTGGTTGCGGCCACCCAAGCTAGCCTGTGCTATATTTGGTCTGTCGTGGTGGTTGTCCATTGTTCCTATGTGTTGCTTTATTATGCACAATACTGCTTACCTGTGCATTGAAGCGGAAAATGTTGTGGTGTTTTGTTTCAGGTCCAGGCTAAATTCCTGTTGCGACGAGAAAAATGTTGTAGGTGACAGCGCCTTGGTAAGTTCCTGTCATCCTACCTTTTTATTTTGAAGCGTGTATTCCTTTATTTAGAATTCATGCCATGTGTGCTTGCCTCCGTACATACTTTGGTTGATATAACACAATGCATGCCTGTCTGTGGGATACATACTTCACTACATCAAACCTGTATCTTCATGCTACGAGTTAGCCTTTTCCCTTTTTCCAATCAAACATGTATCTTCAAGCCTCTGTATGAGTACATATGTTTGTGAGATATGGTGATTGTCAACTATGGCTTGGTAGATATATCTAGATTATTGCTCTTAGATTTTTGTTCCCAAATTTGTTGCAACATTTGCCAATTAGATATTGTTCCGTGCTTATACTAATTATCTATTCTTGCATGCTTATGCTAAATTGCTAATTACGTGTTGTTCTGTTTCCATTCAATTTACTGATGTGGTGCAATTCAGCTGAAATGGTTTCCTCAAACAATGCTTTCGCTACTGTCAGAAATGGCCTTCTGTGCACCTTGATCAGGAAATTATTTCTTTAATCATTGTATTTGGATTGCCTGCAACCATTATAGGGCATGGAACTATGCCATTGTCCACCTGTAACTATGCTCTGTTTCGTGCCTGATGCAGTTCGCATGGTCGCGCTACCGCTTGCTGGAGTTGTTCAGTTTGTTGCAGTTACTGGAGATGCCTACTCAGATTCGTCAATTCATTATATTTTCTTTTGTTTCGGACTTTAGTTCCATCTCAGTAGAATGATCATAATTAGTCCTAGAAAAAAAATAGTCATGATTCAGGATGATTTGAGCCCCCTACAATTTCTGTAGCTTGGCAGGTCTGAATTCCTCATAATTAAGGATCAATGTGATATACTACTGTCATATTATTGTTCCATGTTTGTATGCAGAACTTGCATGTCAACATTTACTAATTCAAGCATGTCGAATCATGAATGAATTTAGACAAACTAGCTTAGATTATATCGCCGTGCAAGCAAGAGACAAGGAGATAGAGCTAAAGCCTTATCTTTAAATGTGCCATGACCAAGACGCAAGTATGATCCTTTTTTCTTTAGTCTGATTTTTGTAAGATTTTGCCTATGCAGTAGCCAAATTTAGATGTCACAGGTTGGTGCCTACTGGATTTGGGCTGTGAATCTCATTTTGTTTTTTATTAGATCGTATACAGGAACTTGTTGTTTTAAGGTTAGCTATCCCTATATGCATCTTTATTTCCATTTTGTGGCCTAATATTTCCTTTTCCCTACCTACTGTACTATTGTTAGTGAATAGCATTCACCCATAATTTGTGACTCATTGGATTGGATGGCCTATTTAGGAATACATAAAGGTACTGTAATTAATGTGTGACTCTTCAACCTATGCATGTTCATGTGTGTATAAAGTTACAAACCTGTACCTTATATTTCTACGATTTTATCAGTGTTGATTCTACTCTTTTTCCTATGTTTGGCTTCCATTGTTAGGAGCATAATATGATAAACACACCTTACATATATGCAATTTTACAGAAGGCATTTTTGTCCAAGAGATGAAGGCGGGCCTGGTGCAAGCGGTAGAGTCTTACCACTGTGACCGGAAGGTCCCGGGTTCGAAGTCATGGTCTCCTCGCATTACTGCAGCGAGAGGTAAGGCTTGCCATCGACACCTTCCCTGAGACTCGCATTGAGGCGGGAGCTCTTTGCTTTGAGTGCGCCCATTTTTGTCCAAGAGATAAACCCACTTCCTTTAACTGGCCTATCAAACTTATTAGCGTTCAGGGTACACGATGTCTTGCTTTAATCATTATGGACACTCCATTTTGTGCATATTACATTTTCTTGGAAGATACTTCTTCAGGATCTGCATCTCCTTTCATTTTCTCTTCCATTGATTGGTAGACATGTGTTTGCATCTTGATGCATATGCAAAATTGAACATTGAATTTTTCCAGATGCGTTGATCATGTTTTTTGTTGGTCTCTGATTGATCCATACCTTACTCCATGATTATATAAATATTTAATGACATTTTTACTTATCGACTTCTGTGTGTTTTTGCCAATAGTTTGAACTGTGATCCTTGATGTTGCCATGAATTGTGTTTATATTTGGTACAAAGGTATACATGCCAACCTAATTCCATATCTGAAAATAGGATATAATGTGTTACAGCTAACACACCTTTAATACCTGCATATCCTATGAAACTTCACACCTTATTTCCCAAGGAAATACCATAGTTTACAAAATCATCACGTGTTCTGTATAACCCATGACAGACACTAGAGGACAAGCCTATGGACAACAGATAAAAATTTATTGCATGAGAACTTACTACGAACACGAAAGAGTTCATCGCATGAACCTGGATATAGATTTTTTTTTGCTTGAAAGACTCCTTCAATGTGCTGACTGATCAAACTAGATTTGATGTGCTGCCTGATCAACCTGTTTATTAGTACCCATTGTATACGTCTTCTGTTGATGTACTTATTCCACATTCTTCATGATATTACTGCGTTACTATAATGGGAATCAGGGAACTGTAATCCCTTTGTTCAGAATAAAATCTTCTCTCAGACAATTCTGACACTAGACCTTGAGTACCTCGGTACACTAGAAATAATTTTTCTTTGGGTCGGTGTTCTCTGGATAATATGCTTATTATTTCTATTTTTATTCGAATTTTTCTTTGGGTTGGTGTTTTTGTAGCTAATATGCCCTTATCCCTTCTGTTTTTTATTCTATCCCCTCTTCTCATGCAGGTAGGCAGGCTGATGAAATATGTTGGAGTGCTGGAAGATTGCACGGCACACAGGGGATACGATTTCTCAGAAGCACCTCCCACATATTATAGCTCTGCAACTTTGCTTGTGGCAAAAAAAAAAAAAGGGGGATAAAATTGTTGCACCTATTGGTGGCCTAGGTTGTGGTGCCTAACATGATTAGTATTTGTGGTTCAACGTAGGATGCATGCAAGAGCTATTTGCTTTTGTTGTTTATATAGAGATATGAGATTGTGTATTTGTGTACGATTTTGTATCTGTTATAGTTCAGCACGACTCTTAATCTGTGACTCTACACTCTCCATTGTGCCAATCATATTTTTGTTACCTTATAACGGGCCATGCGTACCTTAGATCAATGAATCATGTAATAATCCCTCAACCACGAATAAACCTCTGCCTCCTCCGAGCTCTGGCTACTGTAGCAAACGATGCTCATCGTGCTTCGCCAACACTGTTCACCCACTATTCGCCTGCCTATTGTGTTAGACACTGTTCAACCACTTTGCTCTAGTGATTTTTTTGCTGCTCCAGCCTCTACTGGAGTGGTGCCAGCACGCCCACCCATCCGTGCTAGTATTTATCAGGTTTGAAATGGTATGTGTCATAAAAATTATTTGATCCAAGACTGTCTCATGGTACTCGCTTATCTAAAAATAAAATTATCCGTGGACAAAAATAATATGAGTTCACAGTTTGGCACGCGTTCTCCTTTTTTCATTAAAAGAAAACAAAAGGCTTGCAATCGAAATTTCAAACCCCTCTGTCCCTTGGCAAAAAAAAAAGTTATCTTGCCGTTTATTCCTCCACGTTTCCTACATCTCAAACGCCTAAGACGAACGATGCGTTCAGGCGACGCCCTCTTCTAGCGCATGCGCTCGCTCTCCCTCCGTCCCTCCGTCCCCCCTCCCCCCCGGCGAGATCCTCCCTGGCGCCTGGCGAGCTCCTCCTCGCGCACCCGCGCCGAGCTCCTCCCCCCCACTCCGGCGAGCGGATCCAACGACCTCCCCAACTCCGGTGTGCGGATCCGGCGGCGGTCATGGCAGATCCGCACGAGGTAGGTCCTCCTCTTTCTCCCTAGCTTTGGCGCGGCGGCTAGGGTTCCAGCCACACCCTTCTTCCCCAACTCTGGCGGCCTTAGAAGAGGCCGATCGGGGGAGGCAGGCAGGTCAGGCGGTGGGGATGGTGGAGGGCGGTTTAGGAGCCCTAGCGGCGGTGGAAGCGGCTGGGCTAGGTTGGGGGCGGGTGAGCTCCGTCGAGGAGTGGGCGCGGGGTAGGAAGGCGGCTGCCGCGGGCGCTCTAGGGCTCAGCCACGGCGGGGGTGGTGGCCGGTGGCTAGGGCGAGAGCCGGAGAAGCTGGAGAAAGAAGAAGGCAGCTGCACCATTGGGTTCGAAATCTACTGTCACCATTCGTCGCCTAACCAAATCATTTTTTTAGACACCTTAGAATAGCAACACCCTTATTCCTCCGAGGATTATCCATTGTTAAAATCTTATTGTGCAACAGGGTCCATACAAAGAATCGGGCCTTTGGTTCTACCTTGGCTCGCCAAATCGGACTGATCCTCAACCTACTTAAACTGCCCATGAATCAGCCAAGAGGCAAAAAGCAAGCATCTCTCACTGCCATCCGGGTCCACTACTCCCAACGTTCGGCACGCCCAGGTAGCCGTTGCCCCGATGGCCCACTCGCACGCGCACACCGGTTAGCGGTCACCGCGAATCGTGAATACTTGTGACTACGGGGTGCTAACTATAAAAACGCCGCACATCTTTTCGTTTCGCCATTTCGTTCGTCCCCCCTTCCCGTAGAGAGAAACCCACCGTCGACCCGCCCGGCCGCCCGAGAGTTCTGAATCGAAACCGTCGGCCGCGGCCCGCGAGAGCAGCGCGGGGCGCCCACCGCGATGGCTCGAACCAAGCACCAGGCCGTGAGGAAGCCGACGCAGAAGCCCAAGAAGAAGCTCCAGTTCGAGCGCGCAGGTAAGCCCCGCGCCCCGCGCTCCCTCTCCGCCTCGCGAGCAGACGCTGCCGCTGCTCTCCGCCTCCCCTGGTGCTAAGCGCGTTCCGTGTTCCTTCTTTTGCAGGTGGGTCGAGTACCTCGGCGACCCCGGTGAGTGTGTGCGTGCGGGAATTGGTTTTAGCCCTCCTTTTGCGGTTTTGCCTTTCGTTGGGCTGGTCTTACTTGCTTGCAATATGTTTGATGGAATGCAGGAGAGGAATGCTGGGACCGGTGGAGGAGCGGCGGCTCGCGGTGAGGATCTCTTTGTCGTTGCTGGGTTTGGGAATTTCCGGCGCGAAATTAAGTGGATTTCTAGGTTTATCTGTGATATTTCTTCTTGTCTTCTCTTTTGGCTCTGGGGGTGAGAAGTGAGTGTAGTTGGGGGTATTCCCTAGAGAAGCCGAGAAGCTGGGCGGACATGGTGCATTATTTCGCCGCACCGTTTGGTTTGGTGCTTTCCCATCCTTTTACTGCAAACATTGCCTTGTAAAACTTTCATGCATTTCTCAGTGTTGCTATTCGCGTTACGGGTTCGGTTGGTAGAACTATTCAATTTCTTGGCGCAATATGCATCTTCTTTTGTTGCAAGATGAGGGCGAATGTGCCAGTTCCATATGGGCGTCGCGATTTTGTAGTTACTACCTTGCTTACTCTTCGTATTATAGATGTCATTCACTATAGTATGTTTTCTTGGAGAAGCAGTTACACGGGCGCGTGTGGAGAAGAAGCATCGCTGGCGGCCAGGGACTGTAGCACTGCGGGAGATCAGGAAGTACCAGAAGTCCACTGAGCCGCTCATCCCCTTTGCGCCCTTCGTACGCGTGGTGGGTGCAACGTGTGCCAATTGTTGTCCACTCCATAGAATGGGTTTGTTCTGCAGTCTGTCTGATGGAAAGTTATTCTTCTGAGGAAAAATGCAGGTTAAGGAGTTAACTGGATTCATAACAGACTGGAGGATAGGACGCTATACCCCTGAAGCCCTCCTTGCGCTGCAAGAGGTCAGTTATGAAACATGTCTTGTGTATCAGTTAAGATCATCTTCTATAGACATAACTGTTATCATGAAGTCTTTTTCTGTTAATCGGTCTGGTACTACTTACTAATCAGGATTTCAGATTGCGGCCTTTCCTAGTGGTGTAGTCAAAAGGGAATTTACGTGCTGTTTTAGGTACTACTCCCTCCATCCCAAATTGTAAGTCATTCCAAGAATCTTGGAGAGTCAAACTTTTTCAAGTTTGACTAAAATTATAGAGAGAAACACAAAGATTGATGACATCAAATAGGTATAATATGAAAATATAACTAATGGAGAATCTAATGATACTTACTTGGTATGATAAATATTATTATTTTGTTATATAAATTCGGTCAAACTTGAAAAACTTTGACTCTCCAAGATTCTTGGAATGACTTACAATTTGGGATGGAGGGAGTATTTGTTTCGGTGTTTTCAACACTGTAACCGTTTGTGCCGCGATCGGTTGCCGTTATTCCATGTTTGTTTCTGCGGCAGCGGAAGCGTTCACGGTGGGATGGGATACGGGCGCGTGAAACATCGTTACCGTCCATCTGTCTTATCCTTTTACGCTGCTCGCAGGTCGCATTTTCCCTCCGCTCACTCGTCGTGTGCGGCAACCAAACGAAGCGCGTTTTTCGTTACTAGTGTAACTGGTAGCGGTTGCAACTCTTTCCATTTGCGTTACCACTCCCTATGGGAACCAAACAGCACCTTAGTCTAGATTCCATTTGTATTACCTGAGCTAGCTTCCTTGCTATTGGTGCCTTGATTGGACTGTTATGATCGAAATGCAGAAAACTTTGTCGCCTGCATAGCATGATTAGATAACTTGAGTTTACATTTATTTGATACCTTGAGACTGCATTTCATATAGATAAATTATTTTTCCTAATTGTTCTGGTTAATTAAGAGTTTTAGGTTTCCATATTTTTGTATGTGCATCATTTAAATTCTTGTATTGTTTTTCCTCCCTGTCTACAGGCAGCAGAATTCCATTTGATAGAACTGTTTGAAGTGGCGAATCTATGTGCCATCCATGCCAGGCGTGTCACTGTCAGTAAGTTATCACTGAATGAACTCCTTTTTCCCTCTGTACTATTACACCTAATGGAAATGTGATGCATTTTGGTTACACAATTCTTTAGTGATTCTGCTTCAGTTGGATATGATAAATCTAGATGTTATTTAAAGTGGCAAATTGCTTACAAGTGGAAATAGTAATGTTCAAATAGTGCAAAGTGCAATTATTAACTTTTAATAGGCCATTATATGGTTTGATTATCACCAAAGGCATCAAGAAATAGTAAATATTATAACAGTTATGACTATGACTTAGAGAGTGGACAAAAATTCGGTAATGGTGAAGAATTTAATTCAGCTTTGCATAAAACACTAAAATTGGCTAAGAAATCTGATAACTCAAGGAAATGTATTATCCTAAAATGTTTTCCTTCCTGCTGCAGTGCAAAAGGACATACAACTTGCAAGGCGTATCGGAGGAAAGCGTTGGGCGTGATATCCATTCTGATTCTGATTGCCTTATTCGGGTAACTTTTTAGAGGAGTTAGACATACATTAGTGTTGTGAATGCTGCATGGTTCCTAATCTGTTTCACAGTTAGTGGGTTCTAAATCCAGGCTCATGTATGGTCGTTTTTAGTCTGCGCCTCTTATATCTTTGTATTCTTCATTTTGCTGGGATGGATGGGATGATCTGTTAACATCTGTGGAGTATGTTATGTAGCAACTTTTAGCTGAACTGAAGAACCCTGCGCCCAAAGCAGCTGAAGATTGTGTGTTTTGGTCGCTCTTCAACCATTTGTTTGCTTCAGCTAACCATACTCTGCGAACTGTGATGTTTTCTTTCCCGTGATGTTCATGATTTACGCCTTTAGAGATCGATTCAGTCTGCAGTATGGACTATGGAGTAAACTGCATGCTGAAACGCAAGGCTGGATTCGAAGCAGGTCCAGCAGACCCGAACCACTGCTGAAACGGCAGATGCAGGTGCAGGAGGGCCTTTATGCACAGTGGAAGTGAGTAGGACATAGCAGAGAGAACCATGGTTCTTTCTCCTTTTGAACTGGGATCCTGTTTCCCCTCTCGGGAGAGATGCTACCCATATGCCTGTTTTCATTTTTCTTACGACGTTTTCACGTCTCGTTCCCCAGGTCACAGGTGAAAATGTTATTGCGCGCTGACTGTTGCAGTGTCGCCGATCTTGCGATAGCCGACATTTATTTCTCACATGCCCTCGCCGACATGGAGTTCATGAACATTCATGACTCATGAGATAGGCGCATGATGACAAGTAGCGGGTGCTCAATGCCATAGCCTGATGAAAAGCAAGAGGAGAAATGGAGTCCCACGATATATATGAATGCCAAGATTTGTCAATGCTGGGTGCAAAAAGAATGAAGAAAGCAGAACAAGGATCAGGTGATCATCGATCAGCTCTTCTTTGTAAGCCGTCACGGTTACAACCCCAACTCTAACATTGTGAGGGACAAGAAAAGAAAGGTGGACACTGAAGAAGAATTACATCTATCTGTCTATCTGAGAAATGCTCCCCTAATCCTCCTTCAGCTCCTTCTAATTCTGCCTCGGATTCGACCTGCTCGGCGTCTGTTTCTTCAGGCTTGCGCCGACGCCGCGGCTCTCCCCTGCCGCCGTGGCAGCAGCAGCAGCAGCGTTCAGCGGCTGTGTACCCGCCGCTGCCATTGCGTCCGCGACCCGCAGCAGCTTCCGCGGCTGGAACCGGAGCCTCTCTCCCGACGCCGCACCATCGCGATCTACAGGTGCCAAGCTTGGCGCGCGGACCAGGCAATGCAGGACTAGCAGCAGCAGAGCACAGATGAGCGGAGTGCAGGCGGCGACGGATCTCATGGCTGGGACGCTTGCTTGCGGCCAGGCGATTGTGAATTATGGAGAGGAAGGTTTGCAGTGGAGTAGGCTCGGAAGGAAAGGAACCCAGTGATGACCAGGATCGCGGCACTGTGGCGTGTGAATTGTGATGGGTTGGGTTGCTTCGAGCTGGACTCGTACGATCTCCGTCGAAACCTAACCAGCGTGCGCTGCTCGTCGTGGAGCTTGAGAGCCAGCGTCGTGCGCGTCACATGGGGAGCATGGGAAGCACCGTTGGACCAAAGATCGCGGCCCGCCCTGACCCGGCTGCTCTGCTGCCTGAACGCTTCTTTTCAGAGCGAGTTTCCTGCAGACAACAGTCAATGACAGCGGACGTTGGCACCGTGACTGATTCTGACGCACCAATGCCATCATGTCGCCACGCTGGCACACGACCAACAGCCTGTTCGGGAGGCCGTATCGTATCGTGGATTATTTACTGTTGTCTGGTTTGGTGTGAGAGAAAAACACTGTTCCCGGCTAAAAATTTACAATCGTTTACGAGCAAGCGAAAAGGCAAGTCCTGGTTGTTCTTGGATGATGTATTGGACAGAGGAAAGCGCCACGAAATGGGGCGCGAAGAGCGAGCGCCGGCCGGGCTCGCGACTGGATGGAGCAACCACGTCGCGCCGCCTCGACGCAATCAATCATTGCTTAGCTCCTTCCTTGTGCATCCAGCGGCGCGCTAGCTCCGGAAGATCTCGCCGGCTCTGCGTCACGTTGTGAGATGCCCATCAGCCCATGACCCCGTCATGGTCTCATGGACGCTTTTGGCTTTAGAGCGTCGATGGCCATCACGACGTCTTAGCAACGTGCACGCCAATGCCATGCCGCTGGGCAATGCAATGCGGGCCGCGGCGAACGAAGCGGCACGCGCCCGCTGAACGCCAGTGGTGGCCGTCCAGGCGCCGTGGCCTGCGTACGATAGGGACAGGACCGCGCGAGAACAGCTCAGTGCAGACGGTTAAAGGGTGAATAGAAATGAACAAGATTCGAAAGAACTATTTCTTTCGTATCTCTAAAATATATTTATATAAGTGAAGGAATATCGGGACACGACTATTTTCAAAGGACATGCCCTTTGAGTAAAACTAACTGTCTAATCATATCCATTAATCTTGTAATTGATGGATGAGATCACTTCGTGAATAGGTGTCTGTTCATGGCGGAGTTGGTGAGATCACCGAAGAGGTGTCTGTTGAGAGACACCGTTTCGTAACACTCCCCCTTGATCGAATTTTCATTGAGATCAATGCAGCTGTAAGCTGAAATTCCTCGAAAAACCCTATGGCAAAAATCTAAGAAATATATGATATGCCATAAAAACTCTTTTAAACCTTATTGGAAAATAAGGAGAAAATAACATATTTATCTATGATTTAAATAAACCACTATGTCCTTGGTATCCCGTTAAAAACCCCAATGGAAAAAAATATTAGAGATACGACATAAAGATAACTCCCCAAAAACCTTTTCAGGAAAAATATGAGGACCAATATAAAGTGATATGTCGCTAAAACTCATATAAAAACCCAGTGAGAAAATTAGGAGAAAATATGATGGCATATTATTGGTATTGCCTCTTGAATAACTCACATGAAAAACCTTTTCAGGGAAAAACCACGGATGAGTTATGAGGGCAATATGTGTCTTTGATATTTTCCACAAAAACTCCGGTGGGAAAAATAGGAAATATGACACATGCTTAGGTTAATATTACCTCACTAAAAACTTTAATAAGAAACTTGTAAGTAAAACTTGTGAAAGAAAAGAGTATAATATGATGCTGGTACAGGTCAACATTTAGGAGATGTCTCCCCCTGATTCTGGTAAATCTTGAAGTTCGCCGCATACCAATTTCATGTACCATTTTTTTTGAAACACAGAAGTTGGTAAGGACTTAGTAAATAGGTCAGCGAGATTATCACATGACTTGATTTGCAAGATGTTTATTTCTCCGCTTTCTTGTAACTTATGGGGATAAAACAACTTAGGGGCAATGTCCTTAGCGACATTACTCTTTATGTAACCTGTTTGCATCTATGTAAAATAAGCAAAATTATCTTCATAGATAATTGTAGGTGATTTAATCGAACCAATACCACATGCCTGTTGTATGTGGTTAATCATTCTGCGAAGTCATACACATTCATGTGATGCCTCGTATAGAGCAATAATTTCAGAATGATTAGTAGAGGTCGCCGTCAGAGTCTGTTTAAAAGACTTCGTCAAATAGCTGTACCTCCATGTAAGAATACAAATCCAGTTTGGGATGGGGACCAGATAAGTAACCAGCATCCGTGTATCCAATCATATTGGGATCATGATTTCTCTTAAAGAATAAACCAAGATTCTTTGTGCCACTAAAATATCTGAGGATATGCTTCGCTCCCGTCTAATGACGGTGAGTTGGATTTGCACTATGTCTAACTAGTATGTTCACTGCAAATGCGATATCAGGCCTGGTGCAATTTGTAAGATACATAAGTGCTCCAATGACACTAAGATATGGAACCTTGGTCCCAATATCTTTTCTCCAATATTTTCTGGATATAGACTGATTGATGCACTAAAATCTTTGAAGGACGGTGCTCAAGTTGTAAGCCTAGACAATATTTGGTCTTACCCAAATCCTCCATCTCGAATCCACATGATGGAATTTGTATCTCAAATGACTGTATGATTATTTCTGTATCATGATGATATCAAAATAACCAATATACGCAATCATGCTTAATTATACACAATGTATGTTGCGATTTGTATTTGCATTCAGAATATGAAGTCCATTGGGACTTATACGTCCGAATCTATCAAATTCATTTGATATGCCAATTATTGAATTTGAAAAACTTCATTTTCACACATACCATGAGGTATGCTATGCTGGGTCTCTGCGTGAAACCATATGCTATAAGCCCTCATTGTTCACCACCTTGTTTCTGAAAAGAAACTCTATGAGGGAAGATGTCGGATACCAGAAAATGGGGTACCCCAAGCAAAGATCGAAAAACTGCTCAGACCCTAAGAACAGAACCAACGGAATAAACAAACGAGGTCTCGGCCGAAATCTCCGATTCGCCCGAGACCCCGTCGCCGAGCCCCAGCGGAGGCGAACGATTCTCCGACTCGCCCGAGACCGCCTCGCCGAGACCGCCTCACTGAGGCCCCCTCGTCGAGGCCCCCTCGCCCGGGGCCTCGGAAGGAGTGTCGATTCTCCGATTCGCGCAAGGTCGGCTTGGCACCAGCCCCGTGACCGCCTCTTTGACCAAACTGCTCTGACCGAACGTCGCATCCAAGCGCCCAACCACTCCGACAGACGCACGATGGCACAGTACAGCGAAGTGACCGACTACACGCCAGTCGCGTCAACCTCCTGCCATCTGCGATGGCATAGAGCAGGGGTTATCGACCACTATCTTGCCTAATTCACTGTACCAAGGACATCGCATAGCGTGGGGAGTCGAGCAGTTCAGTAGCCTCGGAATCAGCGGACCGACCGCTCGGCTCGCCCGAGCCCCCTCGATAGGGCCTCGGATTCACCGATCTTACTTCGCCTCGCCCGTCCGCCTCGCCCGAGACCCCTCGAAAAGGCCTCGGGCGAATTGGCGCG